AAAAAAAAAAAAAAAAAAAAAAAAAAAATTAAATTTTTTTTTGTAAATAATAATTTCAATTCATAAAAAATTAATTAAAATATTTTACCTTTATTATTTTCTATAAAAAAATATATATTATTTACACCAAGTGCTTATAAAAAAAATTAATAACCCTCCTGTGTCATTTTCCGCAACATACTCAAGTAACTCATGGCCGTTTTAAGAACATCCGTGAATCCGGACAGTGAAAATGTAAAAAACTTCCCCGCGGTTATTCTCAGCGGCTCCTGAGTCTCGATCAGACAAATTAACAGTGACTTGCGGAATTTTTGGGAACTTTTGTACCAAAGACACTCGTAATAAGCTTCGTTGACTTTTTTACTCTGAAAAAAGTAAATTTAATAAATTATTGAATAAATAAATTCATTAATTATAATTAATTACCTCATTAATCAGGCATTCACCGACGATACAGTAGCCGTAGAGAAGAAATACTGTTGCGATTGCGCAGATGATGTAAACATAACCAAAAGAGCTCTCACTCATACTCGAGCCCTTCAAATAAATAATTATTTTAATTAAAATTAATTTATAATAGTATTAATTCATTTATTTATTTATTTATTTATTTGCCATTAATAATTGATAATTACAATTATGACAATATAGCACATCAGGCCTAGCAACAATGTTGTGCCAACTAAATCAATCAGCAAAACAAAATGGAAGGTATCATCCAATTTCTTCGCCATCCTAGTAAATTTGAGGTTAGTTACTAAATTTTAATAATGTTTATAAGAATTTTTATATATTTTATAAAATATTTTATTAATTAAAAAATTAATTAATTAATAAAAAAATAATTAATGAAATTAATAAAACATTAGTTAATTAGTTTTTATAAAGATTTCTATGTCTTTTAGAGGTTAATTTACCAAATTGATCGCATATGACGACGAACAAGTCTTCCGAAGACTACTTGGATCTTATCTTCATTAATATCTGGAGGAATATGTCGAATTCTATGATTAAGTACTGCCAACTGTCCGCAAATATGGAGCACCATTGTGATCAAAAGGCAAATCCATGCGTTATGGCATATCAACAGGTAGACCATTGGTGACAAGTAGCCGTACATTATGAAGTACGACTGGGTCGTTTCAATAGAGAAGAATAGCTTCAGCCGGAATGGAAGTACTAGGAACGTTAGATTGCTTGTGTCGGTTACTGGTAAGGAAGAATAGTCACATAAGTTTGATTTTATTTTAAATATAGTCAATATTTTATAACTTTCATTTTAAAATTTAAAGTTTCATTGACTTGAGTAATATTTGCACGCCTCATATCGCGAAACGTTAATAATTATAATCTATATATTTAAGAGAATATTTTGAATAAAAAAATCTGGAAAATGGTTGACCCTAAAGGCCATCCCTGCAACTTATCGCTAATTCCATATTTAAGCCCTTAAAATTGCACTTAGGACTTTTTTAAGCTTCAAAATTTTTAGAAATTTGTTTATTGAAAAAATTTCAATTAAAAAATTAAAAAAAAAAATTTTCACATGTAAAAAACTTGAAAAGCTATAAGTGCAATTTTTTAAAATATCTTTTTAGTTATAATTTAATTAATAAAAAAAATCAAAAATTTTTAGGAGTCTGCTAACTTCAGTGTCATATAAATTTTAATTTTACTTTTTCAAAAACTCCCGCTTCTTCATTTAGGCTTCAAGATACGGAAGCAAGAGTGCACTGCCATATTCTTTTTACATTGCTGCCTTATTGAAAAAATGAAATAACGTGGGTTACGCTTTTAAGTTGGTATTGAAATATCTAACCGACTGACGAAATTCGGTCCCATTTAAATTCATTAAGTGCTTGTCCCTTGCATTGAGTGCTTGTCCTCTGACTCTGAGTTCAGTAATTGTGTTAATTAATTTATTCTATTTGTTTTATCAAAAATCAAATCAATATGTCTGGTGCAATAAGTGTAGTAGTACTGATTATGTGTAAACCTCACAACGTTTAGAGTTTAAATTTGAAAAGGTTTTGGCGCGCTGTGCGCCATCTATAAGCTATACTTATCTGTTACCGACTGTTCCTCCTCATATTGTTCAGAGATTCTTCGTTTTTTTTTTTTTTTGTTAATAAGAATAACGTGCTTAGTAATGCTAAAAGATGCCAAGAAAGGAAGATGATCATGGGTAAATAGTTGGGATTCTGTAGGGAGGGACTGATCATCTTCGAACGAGACGTGTAACATAATTTCGATCGAACTTCGCCCGCTTTCGGCGGGCTCGTTTGATCGTACAATTATATTATACGTCTCGTTCTCGATGATAACTTGTAGATGTTTAGCGTAAATAACTTGCAATCTTAGTTATTCTTATTATTTTATTTCCTTAGTTACAACAATTACTATCTTCTGGCCATATTAATTTTTATTGTTAATAATTGCACGTACAAACTGCTCTTTCGACTCACGAATCGGTTTATTATAAAACTTTGCGAACATCTTTGATCTTTCTGTCCATCCTGCTGTACGGCGAATGGTGTCAATGTTGACTCCAATCTTGTGAGCTGACGACACTGCCGCGTGCCGTGTGCTGTAAGCTGAGAATTGTTTAGTGTCAATTCCTGCTTTTCCTAGCAGTCCCTTAATCCAATGTCCTAGAGTTTGTGCCGAAACTGGTCCGTGCGGTTTGATTGTAGATATTAATAGTCTTGAATTATCTGGGGCTCTTAAGTCCTTTGTATACTCTATGTATTCTTTAATTATTGATGTCATGCATAAGCCAGGTTTATTTTTAAAATAAGGAAATACTAGTTCTGGTTGAAACGCTCCTGGTTTCGATGTTTTAATTGTCTCTGGAATTTTTATAGTGACCCCTGATTTTGAATATTTAATGTTAGGGTCTGTAATCTATGGGCGGTCGTTAGCGCTAACAGAGTGGCTACTTTTTCTCCAATTTCCTTAGTAGTCAAGCTGTTAAGTGGATGAAGTGACTCGAGATACTTCAATACTGGGACTGTATCCCATGTGCAGTCGTATTTTGGAGTTGGAGGCTTTTGTTTATATACACCTTTCATAAATCTTGAAATCAAGCCATCCTCAGAGATTTTTTGTATCGATATTAAAGATACACGGCTGCCCTAGATGTATTTAGTGTACTATAATTATCGCCGTCTTCCCATCTTTTGGTTAAAAAGGATATGACATCAGTTGAACTTGCGTTAAACGTGTCAATCTTATTTTCAATAGAAAATTGAGACCACAGTTTTAATGAGCCTTGGTATTGTTTCTTAGTAGCTGGACTGAGCGATTTAAACATGACTTCTGCTGTATTCTGGCTTAATCCCCTTCTGATAAAGCTCTCCATGATAATTTCCCCACTAGTAGAGAGAGATTGGATGCTAGTGGGTGTTTTTTCGACCTGCAAGGAGAAATTAGTAAATTATCGTTAGGCTCCAGTATCAAAGGGGGTTCAATAAGAAGAGAATTGAAGAGAGGATACCAAGGTTGTGTTGACCACTCTGGTACAATCATTACACCCTCTGCTCTATCTATAATTATTTTTCTTAGAGCCTTTAAAATAAGAGAAAATGGGGGAAACGCGTAGAAATTTTTATTATTCCATGGAATCGTAAATGCATCTACGAATGATGCCTCTGGATCTGCAAATCTAGAGCAAAATGTTTTGCACTTTTTATCTATTCGTGATGCAAAGAGGTCTATTGTAAATGGACCAAACTTCTTCTGGATCTTATTAAAATGTTTTTGGGATAACTCCCACTCCGTATCCATGTTTGCGGCATCTGCTTCCACATTCTCTTTTGATGTATTATATTCATTATATGTATAATCTGATTACAGATGTATATAAATGTATATAGGTTTCATACAATAAAATAATTTTTGATATAACAATTTAATACTTTACTTTTCATTCAACAATTTTATAAAATTTTTAATACCTTATTTTTTAATTTCAGGAATTTTTATGGATTTTTTTATTTTAATTTATCGAATATTGACTACTACAGTTGTTATAACTCAACTGGAGCGAAAGGAATTCCTTAAGAAATTATCTCATTAAAGTTAGCCGACGTTCTAAATTTTTTGATTTTTTTTTAATAATAAAATTAGAGCAAAAAATTTTTTTTAAAATTGCACTTTTAGTTTTTTAGACGTGCAATTTTTTTTTTATTTTTTTGTAATGGTTTTTTCAATAAAAAATTTTAAATGTCGGTTCATAAGTAATTTAATTTAATTAGTTGATACGACTTTTTTTTTCTTAAAAATGAAATAACCATTATGAGGCGTGCACTTTATAATTTTTCAAACTTTTTTATAGATTATTGAAAATTAATAACACTCACTTAGAGGCATGATGACGTAATAGGTCAAAAAAGGTCTTAAGTAGTACAGCGTAGCCGCGACAGTAATATAAGGCATGGAAATTTTATAAAACAACTTCGCCAAGGCATTGTACTCCAAGTATATCTTCTTTTCCACCCAATCTTCGTAATAAGTATCTTCAAAGTCCTCCTTGATTGTGAAGATCAGGCTCCTCAACATGACACTGTACCTGAAGACAATGAGCTTGGTATAGACCAAGCTCTGCATCACTGACTCAAGAACACTGAGCACCATAGCTTCAAGATCCCCGAACACAGCCAGAAGTTCTCCGTACTCCATTATCAATTGGAACGTCAGATAAATTGTAAAGAAGGTCGCGCGCTTGTAGGTTTTATCAAGCGGCCATATTCCGCCAATCGTCAAGAAAGTTTCGCTCCAGGACAGTAGTGAGCTCACTTTCTTGAATTCTTCTTCCACTAGACGCGCATCTTCCTCGGTCATTTTCGACTTCTTCCGTCTTTGATAAGTTTATAATTCTGGTTCCAGTTCCAGGTCCAGTGCGCAGGCGCGTGAGTTGCGCCAGCGCGGAATACTTTTCGTGAGCTAGATAATTATTTCTATAGTTCAGATTCAAGCAAATTTTTTGTACGCTTAAATTATGCAATTACACTTCGGAAACTTTTAATAGATTGTCGGAAAAGTTTTTTGGTAAATTGCAGTAATTATTTTTTTTATAAAAAAAATTAATTTTGTACAATTTAGATAATTTTTTTTTTTTAGATTATTTCTTCTTACAATTTTAATAATTATTTTTTTATAAAAATAATTTAATGTAATTTACATAATTTTTTTACAAAAAATTATTTCTTCTTATAAATTTAGCAATGATTTTTTTATAAAAATAATTTTGTGTAATTTAGATAATTTATTAAAAAAAATTAATCTATCTTACAATAATAATAATAATTTTTTTTTTTTATAAAATTAATAGTACTTTTCTTCTCTGAAAATAAATTCAGTATAATTCAATAAATTCAAGAGAAAATAGCTTCAAAAATAAATTTATTTCTCAAGTCTAATAACAAAAGCTTCCCCAGGCGCAATCTCAAACTCCTTGAAGTGAATAGTTTGATTAACTTTCTTGACAGGACCTACCACAATAGTACCCTCGTAGAAGAAAGAAGAAAAGTCTTTTTTGTGTGTAGTGTTCCCAAAGTTCCCAAGATATATGTAGGTGTTTTGCCGAGTGTACCAACGCTCAATTATTACCAGCTCATCGCGAGCGTACCTGAAATAATTTTTAAGTTAGTATCAAACAATATAAAAATTAATTAGATCTAGCTTACTTGATTTCACAATTAACCCCAAACTGTTCATGTCTTTTCGCAGTGTCACTATAAATCGGCGCAGTGGACTCCCTTAACCTGATCATGCTCTTCAGTAAATCCATGTTACTATCTCCAGCGAAAATATTTGAAGCTGGTAACCACGGAATTACAAGATTCGTAGAGAATCCCTCGGATTTATTGTTAAGAACAACTTGCCAAGGCATTGGGGACAAATTATGCAAGTGCTCAAGGTCTTTGTGATCTTCACAAGCGCAGTCACCCATTCCAATCTAGAAAATGAAGAATAAGGTTTGTTAATTAAATAAAAAGATGTATTTTTAATACTGGAATCAGCAGATATGTTTAAAAATATTTATTAAAAATTTCAATTTCTCAGTATATATCTATAGTAGGGTGGCGCAAAAAAACCGACTATTTTTTTTTTTGAGTCTCGAGTGAAAAAATGTTAGTTTTTGATGTTTTAAGAGCCCTCACCAAAGGACAGCTCAAAAAAAAATTTTTAAGAGGTCACTCCAAATTTTTCAAAATTTCAAAAATCGTCAAAAATCAAA